GCATGTAGCTTGGATGAGCCTGAGCTTTGCTCAAATGGAACATCTACGAACCTTCGAAAGACACATACTTCGGAAGTCAAAAGGCCGTCAAAGAAACCGAGACACTCTCCACTATGTATCTAATAAAGCACTATATTCTGTAGCTAAAACAAAAAAAATAGATGAAATGGCGGTTTAAATCTTAGAAAAATTCATCTCAAACTATAACATAAAACAAGAAAGGAAAGTTAACTTCGGGCGGAGCCGAAGTTGATAAACCCTTGCAGAATATTCTATAAATTATATTCACCAAAATTATTCATATGATGCATTCTTAATACTCATAAAAAGTCCCAACTTTCTAACTTTAAAAACACCAAAGTTATGACATTTCCAATCGTTCAGTTATATGGCAGCTATAAGATATAGTCGGCCGATCCTTATGAAATTTGATAGGTCGGATTGATTGGCCAAAAATAAAACCCATAGAAAATCCCAACTTCCTAACTTTACAAACACCAAAGCTATGGCATTTCCGATCAATCAGTTATATGGCGGCTATAGGATATAGTCGTCCGATCCTTATGAGGTAGGTCGGATTGATTATCCAAAAATAAAACCCATAGAAAATCCCAACTTCCTATTTTTAAAAACACCAAAGTTATGGCTTTTCCGATCGTTCAGTTATATGACAGCTATATGATATAGTCGCCCGATCCGGCTCTTTCCGACTTATATACTACCTGCAATGGAAAGACAACTTTTGGGAAAGTTTCAAGCAGATAGCTTTAAAACTGAGGGACTAGTTTGCGTAGAAACGGACGGACGGACGGACAGACGGACGGACAGACGGACATGGCTAGATCGACTCTCCTGGTGATGCTGATCAAGAATATATATACTTTATAGGGTCGGAAATGTCTCCTTCACTGTGTTGCAAACTTTTCACTGAAATTATAATACCCTCTGCAAGGGTATAACAACGAAAAATTCCTTATAGACACTCTACTGAATTAATCACACCTAACTTTATAAGACACCTAGATACAGTTGGAATCCTTTACAATCGAAATAGAGAACTAATGTTCTATAATAGGAAATTCCAATCCCTCAACCCTTATGATGGTTTATTTTATATCTGAATACGCTATAAATTAAAACTCTAATCCCTCTCTGTAAATACACCCCCATTCCCTTAAAAAATGTAAATACACCCCCTAATTATAAGAAATAGCCATAAGACAAAACCAAATCATAACCAATTAATGTTCTCAAGTTTTTTTTTTCTCTAAGAAAATTTTTTATACCCTTGCAGAGGGTATTATAATTTTGGTCAAAAGTGTGCAACGCAGTGAAGGAGACATCTCCGACCATATAAAGTATATATATTCTTGATCAGGATCACCTCCTGAGTTGATATAGCCATGTCCGTCTGTCCGTCTGTCTGTTTCTACGCGAACTAGTCTCTCAGTTTTAAAGATATCGAATTGAAACTTTGCACACACCCTTCTTTCCTTCGCACGCAGTATATATGTCGGAACGGCCGGGATCGGCCAACTATATCCTATAGCTGCCATATAACTGATTGATCGGAAATGTCATAACTTTGGTGTTTGTTAAGTTAGGAAGTTGGGATTTTCTAGGGGTTTTATTTTTCGCCAATCAATCCGACCTACCAAACTTCATAAGGATCGGCCGACTATATCCTATAGCTGCCATATAACTGAACGATTGGAAATGCGATAACGTTGGTGTTTTTAAAGTTAGGAAGTTGGGATTTTTTATGAGTATTAAGAACGCATCATATGAATAATTTTGGAGAATATAATTTACAGAGTATTCTGCAAGGGTATATCAACTTCGGCTCCGCCCGAAGTTAGCTTTCCTTTCTTGTGTTTTGCTGAAACTGAAAAAATTAAACTACATAATTACATAAACGAAACAAACAATAAAATAAGTACAACAGTACAAATGTTATCATATATCCCAGTGCCTAATACCCTGATAAGCTAAAAGCGTAGGGTTAAAACTCAATATAACTTTAATTTACCAGTAAGCATGGAATTTGTCACACATGTTTTACTATTAAAAAAAGATTCATCTTGTATCAGAACCAACGAAATTGACAATAAATACATTACATTACAAAATAAGTTTGCGTGATCAAAAATGTCTGAATCTGCAGTTGCAACGGCCGCGTCCCCAGTGGCTGCCCCACCACCGCCAGTTGAGAAGAAGGTGGCTGCCAAAAAGGCATCTGGATCCGCTGGCACTGCACCGCCATCGCACCCGCCAACTCAGCAAATGGTGGACGCGATGCCCAGAAATTGGCTCCATTCATTAAGAAGTATTTGAAATCCGCCGTCGTCAATGGGAAACTGATCCAAACAAAGGAAAAGGGCGCGTCTGGTTCATTTAAACTGTCGGCGTCTGCCGCGAAGGACCCCAGGCCAAAGGTAGCGTCTGCTGAGAAGAAAGTCAAAAGCAGGAAGGTAGCCGTTAAGAAGACCGGAGCCACCGCCAAGAAGGCTGCCGGAGCTGCCGACAAAAAGCACAAGATCAAGAAGGCGGTGGCCACCAAAAAGACCGCCGAGAAGAAGAAAACCGAGAAGGCAAGGGCCAAGGATGCTAAGAAAACTGGAACCGTGAAAGCAAAGCCAGCAGCACCAAGGCCAAGTCGACCACAGCGAAGCCGAAGGCAGCTAAAGCACCCAAAACCAAGCCAGCGGCGTCTGCTAAGCCGAAAAAGGCGGTAAAGAAAGCAGCTGCCCCTGATACAGCTAAGAAGCCGAAAGCAAAGACTACCGCTGCCAAGAAGTAAACTGTAAAAAAGTACAAGTACCTGTACCTGGACGCTTACAGTCGCAATTTAAGATTTCGAAATCTGAAATTGATTTATACAAGCCCTTTTCACGGCTACAATGTTTGTTAGCAAGAGAAAAATTCTTTCGATATACAGTGGATCGCAGCTTATTTCGTGCAGTTACCTAAAAAAAGTTCAAGTCGTTATTCCTGCTAAACTAAAAAAGATAACAGAAAAATTTAAATGCAGTATTTTAAAAGGGAATATAAACTTGTTTATTAAATTAAAACGATTTCCTTAATCGTAAAAACAAAATACTTATTAAATAAAAAAAAAATGTGCAGGCTTTTTTCATGCCGCAGCTTATTTCGTGCAGTTCATTCTTCTTAACTTATTATTTGTAATTTAAAAGCTAATATTTGGTATGTCCTCCTATCTGGTTCAGGACAGCTTTGAGACGATTTCCCAAGGAAGAAACTAACTTTTTAGTAGTTTCCACTGGAATTTTTGGCCATTCTTCCATAAGAACACTTTACATGTCCTTTTTGTTCGACATTTTGACTCGTCTGCAAATAACACGTCATTCTAAATCGAAATCGGAAGAAGAATATGCTCCCTTGTTCCTAATACAGAGCTGGAAAGCAAACACCTATAAGCTATGGTCAAGCATGGCGGGGGTCATGTTATGGTTTTGGGCCTGTATGGCAGCTTCTGGCGGGGCAACCTGGTTTTTTTTTTAAGTTATCATGGATGGCCAAGATATACCTACAGATTCATAAGGAAAACCTGCTCCAAACTGCTGAAAAACTGGGCATACGCGATCGATTTCGATTTGACCAGGACAACGATCCGAATCATTCAGCAGGAATTGTGGAGGTTTATCTTGTCTGGAACTGCCCTCATGCCGTCATAACGCCAGCATAGTCTCCAGACTTAAATGTGATCAAAAGTTTTTGGGAAATATTGGACATCGCTATAAGGAAGAGGAAGATTTCGAACAAAAACGACATGTAAAGTGTTCTTATGGAAGAATGGCCAAAAATTCCAGTGGAAACCACTAAAAAGTTAGTTTCTTCCTTGGGAAATCGTCTCAAAGCTGTCCTGAACCAGATAGGAGGACATACCAAATATTAGCTTTTAAATTACAAATAATAAGTTAAGAAGAATGAACTGCACGAAATAAGCTGCGGCATGAAAAAAGCCTGCACATTTTTTTTTTATTTAATAAGTATTTTGTTTTTACGATTAAGGAAATCGTTTTAATTTAATAAACAAGTTTATATTCCCTTTTAAAATACTGCATTTAAATTTTTCTGTTATCTTTTTTAGTTTAGCAGGAATAACGACTTGAACTTTTTTTAGGTAACTGCACGAAATAAGCTGCGATCCACTGTAATAGCATTCAAATTATTTTATAAAGCAAGAATATAGTGATTGTGTTTTTTTGAAAGAACTGTAGCGGCGGAATTATATCTTTGAAAAGAGTTTAATGTAGCATTCAGAATCGCATAAATTTATCATTTAAACAAGAGAGAACGCTATAGTCGGGTGCCCCGACTATCAGATACCCGTTACTCAGGTAAAGGGAGTGCGAGGGAGATGGAGATAGAAACTTTGATCACGCATAACTTTTTAACGAATGGTCCGATTTGAAAAATTTCTTCTACATTTCGATAGGTATTGATAAACACAATAAAACTGCATTTTTACTTTTCCGAAATATTTAAATTTTTAAAATCGTATATAAGCGATTGTGGGCGTTAAAGGGGGCGTGGCACCTTTTTGAAACAAACTTGCGCTGCGTAGGAACTCCTAGAATCTGCATGCAAAATGCCAATCGTCTAGCTTTTATAGTTTCCGAGATCTCAGCGTTCATACGGACAGACAGACAGACAGACAGACAGACGGAAAGACGGACAGACGGACAGACGGACATGGCTATATCGACTCGGCTAGTGACCCTGATCAAGAATATATATACTTTATAGGGTCGGAAACGCTTCCTTCTAGCTGTTACATACTTTTGCACGAATACAATATACCCTTTTACTCTACGAGTAACGGGTATAAACACTTTAGTTTTGAAAGATACAAAGATCATAGTCCAGACTATTTTGATTATTTTATATTGTATTGCGAATGGTATTGAAAATGTAGTTTCTTTGGTAAAATATGTTATGGCCCTGAAAAGGGCCGTTTTGGATCTTCCTCCGCAAACGCAGCAAATTTACTTGGAGCTGGTGTACTTGGTGACAGCCTTGGTACCCTCACTAACGGCATGCTTGGCCAACTCTCCGGGCAGAAGCAGGTGAACAGCCGTTTGGATTTCCCGAATGGTGATGGTCGACCGTTTGTTGTAGTGGGCCAGACGAGAAGCCTCTGCAGCAATACGCTCGAAGATGTCTTTCACAAAGCTGTTCATGATGCTCATCGCCTTCGACGAAATGCCGGTGTCAGGGTGGACCTGCTTCAGAACCTTGTAGATGTAGATGGCATAGCTCTCCTTCCTCTTGCGCTTCTTCTTCTTGTCGGTCTTGGTGATGTTCTTCTGAGCCTTGCCAGCCTTCCTGGCTGCCTTTCCACTAGTTTTCGGCGGCATTATTTCAGTTCACTTTTAATTTCACAAAAAAACACAATTCACTGATCATAACGAAGCGTTTTCGTTTCGTTTCGTTTATTGTCAATTTCTTTTTTTTTTTTGGTTTAGATACATAGTTAATCTTATTTAGAAGTAGTACAAAGAGTGACAAGTTCATGCTTACTTAACTAAATTGTGTTACATTTAAACCCTGCGCTTATAAGCTTTTCGGGGCATTCGTTTTTATACCCGTTACTCGTAGAGTAAAAGGGTATATTGTATTCGTGCAAAAGTATGTAACAGGTAGAAGGAAGCGTTTCCGACCCTATAAAGTATATATATTCTTGTTCAGGATCACTAGCCGAGTCGATCTAGCCATGTCCGTCTGTCCGTCTGTCTGTCCGTATGAACGCTGAGATCTCGGAAACTATAAAAGCTAGAAGATTGGCATTTTGCATGTAGATTTTAGGAGCTCCTACGCAGCGCAAGTTTGTTTCAAAATGGTGCCAAGCCCCCTCTGACGCCCACAACCCACAAGCTGTGGCCACAGTTTTGATGCTATTATGAAAATTTTTAATTGATATGTATTTGTTTCGTAAATACCTATCAATTTGCCTAATAAAAGTTTGCCACGCCCACTCTAACGCCCAAAAACCTATTAAACGCTTAAGCCTGGCTAGCGCCTACATTTCCGCCCTTTCATGGCCCGTGGTAGCGCCATCTAACGGATGACTTTGGCCAAGGTGCTCAACAGAGTCAACGTTAATTCTCGATAAGGATTTCTATTAAAGGAAATTGCGATGGTTTTCATTTGTCAATACCGAACTATATCCCAAGAACTATGCAAATCAAATCTAGTTACCCAAATTGGAGGTCTGAGTCAAACAATGGCGTATGTGTGTATGTATGTAAGCATATACATATGTATGTATTTACATTGTACACAGTTGCAATTGCCCGGCAAAGATAACTCCTTTCAAAGAAATACCCGTTACTCGTGTTGTGCAAACATTTAGACTTTAATATACATAATACTATTTAAGAATGTATGTGTTTAGCCAATATAAGTATGTATGTTTAATATTTCTAGTCAATTTATTGCACTCAAAAACATAAACATAAACACAGCTGCTGGTGCAGGACAAAAGCTGCCTGCGCTAAAGCAGCGCTGGTGCTGATGCTCGTGCTGTAAAGCTGCTAGCGCTAAGAGATCGCCGAATTCAAATTGATAATTTGAACTTTTTGAACTGAGTAACGGGTATCTAATAGTCGAGGCACTCGACTATAGCGTTCTCTCTTGTTTTATATTTATTTATGTTCATATTTGTACTTCGTACGGGATTGGAAGTAGTATTTTTTATTTATTTTGGTTCTATATATATATTCAGGGAAAAAATGATTTTAAACAGTAAAACCTGAGAGTATTAAGTTTGTTTTCGGTTGTTGTAATCTTAAAAGCTAGAATAGACTAATTTAATGTTAGGGAGGGTGTTTTTACAGCGGGAATAGGTACAAGGTATATAAGGTATAGGACAACATTCATTAATTTCACTGGTTCGTATTGTTAACTAGATTGTTTGGGTTTATGGAGTTATGTCTGCTATGATACCTCTTTGAGGTAGTTTATATGGCTTATCGTTAGATTATGAATGGAATAGTTAGGAGGAGGCTGGATTTGGGCGACGCTGTTTGAGATCAGATGAGTACTATTGTTTCTGTTGTTTTCAATGAATTTTTCGGTTATTTTGAATATGAGGGTATCGATACTTTTGGTTTGTGTTTGTTGGTATAAGTTGCTGTTGTTTATGAGATGTCTTGTTATTAAGTTCCTGACAGAGGAACCAAGGGCTCGACGTAGTATTTTTCGTTCAAAAAGTCTTAAAACTTCCATTTCACTTTATTTTAAGTTGAACCAGGCTATGTGGCCGTATGTGAGTATTGGTTGTATTAATTTTTTGTGTATTAGTGATCTTATTTTGATTAGTTGTTTATTTGAATCCCGGATTTGTGAGCGTTCAATACCATCAGAGATGATTACGTAAAAGGAACGGTTTTTTAGGTAGCTGAATATCATTTTAGGCAGATGGTGGTGGAAGTTATGCAAATGGAGCATTTTGTATATTAATGCATTTGTCCAGACGGTGTCTTAATGCTTTTTCAAAGTCTAGGGCACATGCTATGATGGCCCGTTTGTTGCTTAGGTTGGAGTATATGAAATTATTAGCGGCTGCTAGTGAATATGAGATAGACATATTCTTTCGGAATCCAAATTGAAAAGGTTGTTGGATTGTGTTACGGTCTATATGTTCTGATAATTTTAGGGTAAGAATTTTTTCTAGGAGTTGGCTTATTGCAGACAGCGTTGAGATTGGTCGGTAACCCAGAAGGGTTTCATGATTGGCTTTGGAATAGCAATTGGAAATTTTGGAATAGCAATTACTTTACTGCATTTCCAGCTACTAGGAAAGTATGATATGTTTAAGCAGTGATTAAATATCTGTGCCATGTGTTTTAGTACAGGTATATTTATTCTTTTTAGAAGGAAGTTGCTCGTTCCATCAGGACCAAGGGTTTTCTTTGCATTTCCATACTTTATACGTTCAATAAGTTGTTTGGTGTTTGTGAACCCTGTTCTTCCGCATTTTGCCAGTTTCCGTCGGCAGTAATATTTTCATTAAAGGTGATAGATGGGCTGTTTTCGTTTAAGAATGTTTCCCTTACTGTGCTTTGGATTAGGTTTGCGTGGAGCTGGTGCTGTGGGTTTACTGTTGATAGGCTATCATTATACCCGTTACTCGTAAAAGGGTATATTGTATTCGTGCAAAAGTATGTAACAGCTAGAAGGAAGCGTTTCCGACCCTATAAAGTATATATATTCTTGATCAGGGTCACTAGCCGAGTCGATATAGCCATGTCCGTCTGTCCGTCTGTCCGTCTGTCTGTCCGTCTGTCTGTCCGTATGAACGCTGAGATCTCGGAAACTATAAAAGCTAGGAGATTGGCATTTTGCATGCAGATTCTAGGAGTTCCTACGCAGCGCAAGTTTGTTTCAAAAAGGTGTCACGCCCCCTTTAACGCCCACAATCGCTTATATACGATTTTAAAAATTTAAATTTTTCGGAAAAGTAAAAATGCAGTTTTATTGTGTTTATCAATACCTATCGAAATGTTGAAGAAATTTTTCAAATCGGACCATTCGTTAAAAAGTTATGCGTGATCAAAGTTTCTATCTCCATCTCCCTCGCACTCCCTTTACCTGAGTAACGGGTATCTAATAGTCGGGGCACCCGACTATAGCGTTCTCTCTTGTTTTACTTGTGAATTCGTTCAAAGGCCCAAGCAAGTCCATTTATTTTATGAAAATCTGATTTTAAGATGGTTGGAATATTTATATCAATGGTTTGTTTTTCAACTGGTGAAAATATTATTTTTTGAGTTCTGTGGTTAGGTTGTGTGAGTTTAAGAGTTTTAAAGTTTATGTTTCTTGGTTTTAGGTGTTGTATTTTATTTTTTATGTAGTTTATGTGGATGATTTTTAGTAGCTTATTTATTTCAATTTTAAGGGATTTTATTTCATTGTTAATGTACTGCTTTTCAGCTGATGAAATGGAAAATATGTGTCCAAAGAGGTACCGTCTAAGGTACCGGCAGTATTTTATAAGCTGCAAGCAGTTAGGACTAGGACGTACGATTTTGTTAGGTTTTTTTTTGGATCTATTTTAATAATTGGTATGACTTCGGTCGAATGTAATGCTTTTTCTATTGCTTCATTGAGTTTAATTACGTGGTTGTCGATCTGATCAGAGGTTTGGTTCTGGCAGTTTGGGATTGGTGATAGATTTGTTAGGATGGTCCTGTTCCACATTAAGGAATTCATCTGGTTAAAGTTGAAGATTTTTTCGGGTCCGTTTCTAATAGTTGAAAGGATTCAAGGTTTAGTTCTAGTTCTACTCAAAAGTAATCCAATGGGAAGTCTTTTGTTATTTTACATCCATTGCCAAAATCTGTTGATAGTTCATTTGAGCATATAAAAGAGTCTATATAGACGAGGCAATTATTTGGTTAGGCCGGGTGGGTTTATTGTAGGGAGTAGAGTGAGATAAGGTTGGTTGTCCATTTGAGTTAAGGTGTCTGGGACTATGGCTTGGGTTATGCCAGCTTGGGTGTTTTGCATTAAGATCACATCCGATTACTATTGGGCTATTGTTGGATTGTTCATTAACATGGTTTTACTATATTATTTAGGTCTGATGTATGAAGCAGTGTATCTGGTTTTTTGTATAGTGTGACTAGAACTATGCTGTGCCTTTCTTGTCGTCTATTTATGTAATAGATTTGAATAGCGACTGCTTCGATGTTGATTGTGGGTGGTATTTTCAGTTGCTGGAATTTCATACCGTTTTTTGTAGCAATGGCTGTTGAAGCTTTGGAGTATCAACTAGCGGTTTCTGGCTGACTGTTTGACCTTTGGCGGGCAAGTTGGTATCGTGAGAGATTTGGATTATGTTTGTCAGTTAAGCGGTGTTCTGCTATGAGCATTGCATTTGGCTTATGCTTTAAAAATTATTTTTCTAGCTCAGCGTCTTCTCCTGACTCTTTACGAAAAGACTCGGAGAGCAACCGATTTATGGGTTACAGGCCCAAACCATAACGTGTCCGCCGTCATGCTTAACGGTGGGTTTTAGATGTTTGTCCTGCAGCTCTGTATTGGCTTTACGTCATACATTTAGACCCAAAAATATTACGTCATTTTCGCTGATGAGTCAAAATTTAATATATTTGATCCGAGGACGTTCTTAGCTATGGCGTAAAGCCAATACAGAGCTGCAGGACAAACATCTAAAACCCACCGTTAAGCATGACGGCGGACACGTTATGGTTTGGGCCTGTAAGTCCGCAGCAGGAGTCGGAAACCTAAAATTTATTGAAAGCATAAGGAATAAAAATGTTTATCTTAATATCCTTAAGGATAATTTACTCCAAAGTGCTGAGAAATTGGGAATAAAACAGGGTTTTCGGTTCTACCAAGACAATGACCCA